ATCATGAGCGGCATTAGTTCTGCTCATTACCGCTTTATGGCCCTGGCGCTGCAAGCAATGTAAACATATTGGGCTGGTGAAGGAGGGACGCGTTCCAGCACGATCTTCCTTCTTTCCCAGACAAGCTATGAGCGGCAGATTCACGGCCTTATTATTATTATTATCAGAGTTAACAAATTATCCTCCTTGTTAATATTTATTCTATTGTAAATGTAAGGAAATATAGTGATAAAGATAAGCAAAGAAGGGAAACATTTAATGAAGGGAGTGAGAGGTTGCAGATGTTAGTAAGTAGATGCAGGAGCGAGTAGAAGAACGATTGATAAAGTGAATGAAATGGGTTACGGAGGGAGGAGTATAACTGGGTAATGTCTTATGTGAGTTGATTAAATTCCTGGGCAGGTAATCGGTGTGTAGCATCCAGCTCTAGTGTTGATATCTTAGGATTCCTTTACCTGAAAAGAGAAAAGTAAAGATTATTAATTTTCTTATGATGCGCGAACTATGACACACCCCGTAAAGGTATGGAGAAGGAACTATGTCAAGAGGAAATAATTCAGGAATTTTACACCAGTGTTATCATTGATTCTGACATACAAGAGAAAGAAGAAAATCAAAATGGACTTTTGTCACATTTTGGAGAGCAATAAATGTGATAAAGCGGTCTCAAAGAATATGAAACAAAGAATTGAAAAAGAAACGTGGAAGTGACATATACGTAACACTCAAAAGATGACCAGGGCTTGTTAAGGGGGGGAATTGTTAAAGCAGGATTGATAAAGAAGAGAGACAGGGAAGGTGGGATGCACGACGTATTAAGAGGTGAAGGGGGGTGGACAGGGTGGAAGAAATGGCGAGTGATCAAAGGTTATAGTAACGTAAATTGATGGGGCCTTGTTGTGGATTGATGGGGCCTTGTTTTGGTTTGATGGGGCCTTGTTTTAGTTTGATGGGGCCTTGTTGTGGATTGATGGGGCCTTGTTGTGGATTGATGGGGCCTTGTTGTGGATTGATGGTGCCTTGTTGTGGATTGATGGGGCCTTGTTGTGGATTGATGGAGCCTTGTTGTGGATTGATGGGGGACGTGTTGTGGATTGATGGCACCTCCTTGTGAAATGATAATACAACAGCAGGATGCAAATATTATAATAGTAAGAATAAATTAATTAAATAAAAGACAGCGAATGAAAGGAGACTTGTGTGTTTGGTCTCGACTCTATTCACTGTATATAACTGAAGAAACACTCACAGTATTTATATATATATGGGAGTAAGACGGTATGGTGTGAGGTGGTCCTGATGAAGAAACGCACTCCCGGACGTTCTAATTGCCTTATCAGCTGACCACGCCCGCTATATCACGCACGTACCAAAGCAACATAGAAAATGGGGCGCAATATAGGAGACAAGGGACAACATAGAAAATAGGGGCAAAGACAAAATGTGATATAGCATAGAAAATAGATAGCAACACAGAACAGGGGGTACAAAATATATAAAGTATACCGTAAAGGATAGAATCACACAATAATAGGCAACAGCAGATAGTGTGGGATGAATTATAAAAGACAAAATTGGGTTATTACTTTAATGGTAGTGAGACAATATATATAATAATTAGTACATTATAGCATCCGATATGATATACAACATAAATTGACTGGACAACATACATAATTAGAGTAACGGAAACCGAGTTAACACATTAGATGGGACAGCATAGAAAATTGGATGAAGTTATAGAAAATGGGGTGCAACATAATTATGCTCTTGATGACTACACACACGAAACCATAGTGATGCTGCAAGGAAGGACATTACGTTAATTTCTCTATATATCATTTAACCCTGCATCAATTACTTACATGTTCAGTAATGACAAATATAAATGGTTGACAGTATGAAATTTTCTTTTGTTTTTCACCATTTACTTTACCTATAATGATCAAGCGTCACTTGATGATCTTTCCACTGCCTCAATAATTATTCTTAGGCCAACTTTGCTGTGAGAAAAGATCAAAGATTTTGAAGGCTGCAAGTTTTGTCTTGTCTTTGTACTTAGTTGATTTGATTCAGTATTTTAATCTTGTGTTGTCTGCATTGTACAGTGTCCCAGTGTGTTATGACCACATGGCAAAGGTCACAGGTCATGATATTTCCTGATATTACTGTCTTGACCTTTGGCCATTTACTGAAGGTCATTACATCAGACTATCAGGGAACATATTTTTTTTAGGAAAGGGTGGAGTATTGTTTTGTGTCCTGTTTGTTAATCTCTGTCTATCCACAAAATAACTAATGAATGGTTTTGCGAATTTGACGCAAAACCTGGTATATTGATGTAAAAATGTTCACAGGATAAACCTTTGGTATAAATCGAAGTAAAATTGGCTTGTTGACATGGAGGTTAAAGAAAATGATGACCTGCGAAAATCTCCAGTAATGATTATATTACAGTAACAACTTTACTAGTTCGGTATTTACCTTGCCATGGTAACGGTTCGCAGGCAGGGTAAACGTCCACTGAGATTATTATTATTATTATTATTAATTATCATTATCATTACTATTTTTATTATCATTATTTAGTTATTTTATTATTATTATTATTATTATTATTATTATACAAGGCTACAGAATACAGACAAGACACTTTTTTACTTTTTTTTTATCCATTGGCGCAGTACAGTGTTACCAGTCCCATAAGAGGGGTACCAGTACAGAGTTTCATAAATACGAGTATATATAAATTCAGTCAATATTTACTGGAAAGGTAGTGGTGGGTGTCAGTGGATCGCTATATAGTGATGGGTGGCATAGTAGTGATGGCGGATAGAGTAGTGATGGGTGGCACGGTAGTGATGGCGGATAGGGTAGTAATGGGTGGCACGGTAGTGATGGCGGATAGGGTAGTGATGGGCGGCATGTTAGTGATGGGTGGCAGGGTAGTGATGGGTGGCAGTGTAGTGACGGGTGGCAGTGTAGTGATGGGTGACAGGGCAGTTATGGGTGGCGTAGAGTTAATGGGTGGCAGGGTAGTGATGGTGACAGGGTAGTGATGGGTGACAGGGTAGTGATGGGTGACAGGTAGTGATGGGTGACAGGGCAGGGTGGGCATAGAGTTAATGGGTGGCAGGGTAGTGATGGGTGACAGGGTAGTGATAGGTGACAGGGTAGTGATGGGTGGTGTAGTGATGGGTGACAGGGCAGTTATGGGTGGCGTAGAGTTAATGGGTGGCAGGGTAGTGATGGGTGACAGGGTAGTGATGGGTGACAGGGTGATGGGTGACAGGGGTGAAGGGCAGTTATGGGTGGCATAGAGTTATGGGTGGCAGGGTGATGGGTGATGGGTGACAGGGTAGTGACAGGGTAGTGATGGGTGACAGGGTGGTGGGCAGATGGTGGCAGGGTAGTGATGGGTGACAGGGTAGTGATGGGCGGCATGGTAGTGATGGGTGACAGGGTAGTGATGGGTGGCATGGTAGTGATGGGTGACAGGGTAGTGATGGGTGGCATGGTAGTGATGGGTGACAGGGTAGTGATGGGTGGCAGGGTAGTGATGGGTGACAGGGTAGTGAGGGGTGACAGGATAGTGATGGTTACCACGGTAGTGATGGGTGATAGGGTAGTGATGGGTGACAGGGTAATGATGGGTGACAGGGTAATGATGGGTGGCAGGGTAGTGATGGGTGACAGGGTAATGATGGGTGACAGGGTAATGATGGGTGACAGGGTAGTGATGGGTGACAGGGTAATGATGGGTGACAGGGTAATGATGGGTGGCAGGGTAGTGATGGGTGACAGGGTAGTGATGGGTGACAGGGTGATGGGTGGCGGGGTAGTGATGGGTGGCGGGGTAGTGATGGGTGGCGGGGTAGTGATGGGTAGCGGGGTGTTATGATGGGTGGCAGGATAGTGATGGGTGCAGGGGTAGTGATGGGTGGCAGGGTAGTGATGGGTGGCATTGCAGTGATGGGTGTCATTGCAGTGATGGGTGGCAGGGTAGTGATTGATGGCAGGGTAGTGATTGATGTCAGTGTAGTGATGGGTGGCAGTGTAGTGATGGGTGGCAGTGTAGTGATGGATGGTAATGTAGTGATGGGTGGCAGGGTAGTGATGGGTGGTATTGCAGTGATGGGTGGCATGGGAGTGATTGGTGGCAGTGTAGTGATGGGTGGTAATGTAGGGATGGGTGGCAGGGCAGGGTAGGGATGGGTGGCAGGGTAGTGACGGGTGGCAGGGTGGTGACGGGTGGCAGTGTAGTGATTGGGTGGCAGAGTTGTAAAAGATGTCATGGTTATAGTTGGTGGCAGAGTTGAGGGATGGTAACGAAGGAACGGGTGGGGGCAGCATAAATCGGCGACACAGTAGCGGCGGTGTGGGCGGCACAGACGGCGGGTCGGCGATAGATGGCCCTAGCAGTTGACGCTACCGCCGCCCACTGCCCGTCACTGGCCGTCATCGCCAAGGAAATGATAAAAACTTGTCTATTGATTACACACCCGAGACTCCTCCCACCTGTCAATCAAAGCTCCACAGTCGCTCATTGATCAATTACTACTGAAGCTCCGCCCAGGGGCGGGGCTTACCTGCTACCCGCTTTCAGTTGCCGTCTGTCGAATAATAAAGTTCACTCAGCTAGTTTAGTGCATTAAAAATATCATTAGTACCTATCAGATGGACGTAAATTAGTGCCACATATTTTTTTTTTATAATTATCAGATATCAAGAATAAATTACTTATTATTTTGGTAAATTAAATCTAACCAATCATAAAACTCCTCCTACTCTGACGTCATGTACGTCACCTACCAATCGGAGTGAGGGACACAGGGTGATGATAGTCATCATACCTAAAGAACGCTTTAGTTATTTTTTTTTCAATTGTACACACAGGAACACTATCCTGTCTTTACCCTTTGCACTTAACTGGTTACTCCACCATAGTGCTTCAAGGTGACGTATAAGCAGTGCTCTAATCCTGAGTGTTTTTTCCACAGGAGAGGCGAAGGCAGAGTAGCAGCGAGACCTGGCGCCACTGTTTCCACGGAGAAGGTAAACAATCGCTTGGTAATTGTGCAAGTAACGCCTCGCTTCACCTCGCCTCGCCCGACACACAAAAGAAAAAAAAAGAATATTAGAAAAAAAAATGTAATTCAAGTGTGGTGTGTTAGGGCGCAAAGTTAGTCCAACATTTGTGTAGATGAAAAGCGTTAATCAACGTTGTATGCTTTTCTGCGTAGAGCAAACTAGACGGGAGACGTGTGTAAGGGGCTTGCATGACCCCCCACCCCCAACCCCTTATCCCCCACTCTCTTACCCTCCCATCTGTTTATTCTCCCTCAGTTATCTCCTCCACCCTTCTACCTTTATGACTTTCTTTTCCCTCTTCCCTCTCCCTTTACTAATCTTTCCTCCTCTCTGCTTTTGCTGCACACTCCAGTTGCTGCCCCCTTACGGTGACTGAGAGGGTACTAGTATATTATTATTGTGGTGAATTTGTAGTGACTGTGAAGGTGTTGGTGTTTGCCGTGAGATTGTGGTCTTGATTGTGGTGATTTAAAAAGGTAGTGGTGATTGGGGTGACTGTAAGATAGTGGTGGTGATTGTAAATGTGTTGTTGATGATGATTGTGAAACTGGTCCTTAACGATAGTAGTATGGTGATCGTGCTAGCGTGTGGTGGATAATGGTGACTATGATAGTGGTAGTTACTAACAATGGTCCACGTACAGGTAACCATTATGTTGATGGTGGTAATTGTGGTGATAGTGGATTGTGATGGATATAGTTAGATGGCACTGGTTATGGTGAAGAGACGTTGTGGTTGATTATCTATTAAGTGTTTAATTAAAAAAAAAACGTTCAAGCTCAAATATTAAACGAGAAAACGTTAGATTAGCTTAAACGTTCGGATAGATAGTTTAATACTTGATTTGTAAGTAAACACCTGTATACCATTGCGTGTGTAATTAATATCTTTACAGCAGATGTATGTATAAAAGTAGCTGTTCCATTATTTCTTAGCTCATACAGTTGTTTTGCCTTTATTTATTTAGCTCACAAATCTAGTGATGCTTATAGTTAGTAGTGGTGGTTGTAGTAGAAGTGGTAGCTTGTGGTTATTTTGGTGACTAATCAACCAACCAACCAAATCACCGCCCAACCAACCGGCCAAACAACCAGCCAGCCAACCAATCGGCCAAACAACCAGCCAACCAAACAATCAGCCATCCAGCCATCCAGCCAACCAACCAACCAACCATCCAGCCAACCAACCAACCAACCAATCAACTAGCCAACTATCCAACCAACCAACCAACCAACTAGCCAACCAACCAACCAACTAGCCAGCCAACCAATTAGCCAGCCAACCAACTAGCCAACCAACCAGCCAACCAACCAGCCAACCAACTAGCCAACCAACCAACCAACTAACCAGCCAACCAAGTAGCCAACTACCCAGCCAGCCACACAGATTCTCAGGGTCCCCGACAGATCAATCATACGAACTATTTGGTTCTTGTCATATATTATTATTCCGTCAGTTGCGCTTATCGAAATTGTTTGACCTTATTAGGGGGTGTTTCCACTTGTGTTGCGTTGATGTGTGTTGCTGTTGTATTGTGCTGAATTTGTTGTTACTTGGTGCTGATGTTGTGTGGCTGTGATACTGTGTTGTGTGTTGCTGCTGTGATGTATGTTTCTGTGTGTTACTGAGTGTTGTTGTTGTATGTTGTTGTAATGATGTATGTTGCCGTGTTATGTAGTTGTGTTGTTTTTGTTGTGTTGCTGTGTTTGTGTGCTTCTATTGTGTTGCTGTGTGGTGCATTGTGCTTCTGTATGTTGCTGTTGTGTTGCTGAATGTTGCTGCGTGTTGTTGTTCTGTTGCTATGTGTTACTTTTGGGTTTTTGTGTTGTGGTGCAGTGTTTCTGTGTATTGATGTTACGCTGCAGTGTTACTGTATGTTGTAGTTGTTATTGTGGTTGTGGTGTTGCTGAACCATCCAGCGATATGCCATTGTTTTGTTTTAATTTTCTCCCATTTTATTTATTTTTTGCCACTTTGAAATAATCTGTCATGTTATGTTGAAGGCAATTACGAGTAGAATTTTTCGCTGAACAAAGTTGAATCCAACTAGAGCGTCAAACTGTTCAAGACTCGACCGCAAGTTAAGTTAGATCATTGAAAATTGGGGTTTTTTTTTAAGAAGGAACCTTAATAATGCAAGTGTCTTAGTAATTTATAAGGTGATATTTTGTGCCTCGTATTGGGATAAGAAAAAGTATATGGTAGTAGTATAGTTTCAGTGTACCTTTGGCGCCATCATTAATATCCGACATTATTGTGCAAAAGGATAAAATTAGCCGTATAGATAATGTTCTCACTTCCCCAGTTAAGGTCAAAAAGAAATTTAATGAAAGAAACATAAAGAATTAAGACTAAAGGAAATAGAAATCGGATCAATGGTGAGGTTTAGATAGGTGGAGAACGAAGTGTCTTGATTCCCAAAGGGTCTCTCATTGTATATTATTTCTCGTAAGTGAAGATATAAGTCAAATAGCAACGTACCGGATAAGTTGACTTCACCAAAAACAAAAGAAAAACTGAAAAACGAATAAGAAAAACAAACTCCACATACTTCACTTTATCTTGATGTGTTTACCGAAGGCAGACAGAATTAACTTTAAATATTTCCAAAAATATTCTGTACAGAGGTGTTGATGACCTGTAGTGTGGCTCACTCGTGTGTTGATGACCTGTAGTGTGACTCACTCGTGTGTTGATGACCTGTAGTGTGACTCACTCGTGTGTTGATGACCTGTAGTGTGACTCACTCGTATGTTGATGACCTGTAGTGTGGCTCACTCGTGTGTTGATGACCTGTAGTGTGACTCACTCGTGTGTTGATGACCTGTAGTGTGACTCACTCGTATGTTGATGACCTGTAGTGTGGCTCACTAGTATGTTGATGACCTGTAGTGTGGCTCATTCGTATGTTGTTGACCTGTAGTGTGGCTCATTCGTGTGTTGATGACCTGTAGTGTGGCTCACTCGTGTGTTGATGACCTATAGTGTGGCTCACTACTGTGTCGATGACCTATAGTGTGGCTCACTCCTGTGTTGACCTGTAGTGTGGCTCGTGTGTTGACCTGTAGTGTAGCTCATTACTGTGTTGATGACCTGTAGTGTGGCTCGTGTGTTGATGACCTATTGTGTGGCTCACTCATTGGTGATACTTGTGTGACTCACTCGTGTGTTGATGACCTGTAGTGTATGGCTCACTAGTATGTTGATGACCTGTGGTGTGGCTCATTCGTATGTTGTTGACCTGTAGTGTGGCTCATTCATTGGTATTGTTTCTTAGTGTGGCTCACTCGTGTGGTGATGACCTATATTCTTTGTAACTACTTCTGTGTCGATGATGACCTATAGTGTGGCTCACTCCTGTGTTGACCTGTAGTGTGGCTCGTGTGTTGACCTGGGTGTAGCTCATTGCTGTGTTGATGACCTGTAGTGTGGCTCGTGTGTTTGAAGCCCTGTGTGTGGCTCACTACTGTGTCCTCGGTGACCTATAGTGTGGCTCCTCCTGTGTTGACCTGCTGTAGTGTGGCTCGTGTGTTGATGACCCCTGTGTGTGGCTCACTAGTATGTTGATGACCTGTAGTGTGGCTATTTAGTGATGACCTGTAGTGGCTCACTCGTGTGTTGATGACCTGTGTGACTCACTCGTGTGTTGATGACCTGTAGTGTGACTCACTCGTATGTTGATGACCTGTAGTGTGGCTCACTAGTATGTTGATGACCTGTAGTGTGGCTCATTCGTATGTTGTTGACCTGTGTGGCTCATTCGTGTGTTGATGACCTGTAGTGGCTCACCTGTGTGTTGATGACCCATAGTGTGGCTCACTGTGTCGATGACCTATAGTGTGGCTCACTCCTGTGTTGACCTGTAGTGTGGCTCGTGTGTTGACCTGTAGTGTAGCTCATTACTGTGTTGATGACCTGTAGTGTGGCTCGTGTGTTGACCTATTGTGTGGCTCACTCCTGTGTTTCTATGTATGAATGTTTTGCGTGTTCATGGCAGCGTCGTCGCGTTTGTACATGACCGTGACGTCTTGCAGCGTTGTTTTGTTGTATGTCCGTGGCGGTCTTCCTACAGAGCAGTGTGTTGCAGAGGGTCCGTGGCAGCGTGGTCCTGTAGCTGAATAACTCTGAGCTGAGCCATATATCATTAGCCGGGGCCTGATACTACCCCGCTCACGCCGGTGATGGATCGCCCACCCGCGCATTAAAAAATATCTCATAGAAAAAATATAATACCACAGCAAATCAACCGTGGATTTGCAGTTGACTCAAACTTTTGCTTATTCCAACTTTTGCCCCAATGCAAGAAGCGATGTTTAGTGACTAGGATTACTTTAAAGACGAGAGGCAAATGTGTGTCAACCCCGCAGGGAAAAAATAAAAATAAATACAATAAAATATATATATATATATATATATATATATATATATATATATATATATATATATATATATATATATATATATATATATATATATATATATATATACACTGTATATATAAAGATCGTTGTTTTCCCCTTTGGCTTGCGAGAATAGAGGTGTGTCAAAATTGATAAGGAAAGTATTGACCATTTAGTCCAAATCACAATTACGGACAAAATTGGTGCACAAGTATATTCATTTTCGTCAATTTCTATACACCAGAAATTAAACACAATTAATCCATCACCCAGAAATAAGATTTAGGAGAGGACAAGGAATGGTGGAGTCTCCAAGGAGAGGCATAACGACCCTGCACGACTTCCTTTCATAATAAAAAACATATCATTCTACTCTTTATATTATGCATGAATTCACATATGCGCACACACATACACACACACACACACACACACACTAAATATTATACACATCATGCCCGAGGCATGTATACAAATACAATATATTTTTGTCCCCAAAGCAAGCTGACAAATTACATGCTTATGGCATATTGATTATGAGGTCTTACAGGTGAGGGCAGTAAA